TAAAAATCATCATGATGTTGTCAATCCAAGATTTCTCATTATCTTTATTTTATGATAAAATTCGAAAATACGATATTGACTATGTTCTAAAGAATTTAAAGAGTGATTCTGTTGATACGAAGCAATTAAGAAAGCGATACGATGAATTTCACACTATCTATAAGAATATAGTAGAAAAGTATCTTAATCCTAATCTCAAACTTGACAAATTAATTTCCAATACTGAATTATTCACTGGAGATATTAAACAAAATGCACCTATCATTGTGTGGAATGCATATATAAGATCTAAAGTTCCAAGATGGTGATCCCCACTTTTATTTCTTGGACTCTTCAAACTGCAGTTCATTACTTTGAAGCCGAAGGATTGGAAGATAACAATAACCACCTTCTTTAGGCTCATGCTGCTCAGAAAATCTCAATGTTTTGTAGGCTCGGTGTGAGTGAAAAGAACAAAGAATTAATAAACAATTTAGAACAAAAAGGAATATGCGAAAAAAAATCTATAATATTAGTGGCTAGAGCTTCTATACTCGCATTATTAGGTTTTGATATACACTGGGCCTGTTGTCGTAAATATTGAAGTCAGAGAAATTACTCAGTGTTTCTACCCTTATTGATTCATTATAGGACTTTCGACATATTCATGTGAAGATATAAGTAATGAAACTAATGATATTCGTCAAATAGTCTCAAAGAGTTAATTTTTAAAGATATTAATGATGCTATGAAAAATAATCGAGAGATGCAACCAACTAAAATACTATTAATTTACGAAACTAATTTTTTTTTAGTAGAAAATTTTATGGCAGCTTATATAAACCATCAGCTAGTTTACAAGATCCTACAATTGGATATTTATGTTGTGATACACTTCCAAATAGGGAATTCTGGTTTCAAGAAGTTGTAAAAGTCATGCTTGCGGATGTAAATAACTTTGAATCTCATGGTAATGTCGTAACAAATGATGGAATCGGATATAAAGAACAAGAAAATCTTAGATTCAGTGGAAAATATGATGTTTTTATTGAGAATAGTGATGACTATTTTAATAGGATAAAGAGAGAAATTGATGATAGATTCATAGAAAAGAATTCTGAAAAACGTGATGTTTTAGTTTTTCTTCCTGAGTCAAGACAAAAACTGATGGAATTTTATAATTCTGATATGTTGGTGCCAATTAAAGATTTGGTCGATTATTTAACTGAAGAAACTTCATTAGAAGAAAAAAGAAAATTGGATTGAGCACGCAACTACATCTGGTCAAATAACATTATTTACTAGAACTTCAGGTCGAAGAACTGATTTTGTCTGTCATGATCAAATTGTTGAAGCAAATGTTGATACATATGTTATTCAAATATTTTGTTTCAGAAGAAACACAAATAAAAGAGAAAACTGCAAGACAATAAGATTAGGGTTCTTATACAGCATGATTCTACTTGATCATCATCTAGAGAAATTTCAAATAGAGCAAGATCACCTTGAAGACATTAGAAATTGGACTTGCAAAAGCATAAGATACAATCTATGAGCTTTTTCATGGTAAACGTACCAATTTTTTTAAAACTCAGTACGAAGAGAATTTGAAATATGTTGAACAAGCAAAAGGAAAGCAGCAGATTACTCGAGCATTTCTATCAAGTCTTAATTCAAGAGATATAGATTCTAGTAGAAAATTTCAAGTTGAAGAAAATAAAGAAACCGAAGGTATTTCAAATTCGTGAACTGTCTTCAATGTTCCACTTGTTTGTGGATGTGCATCTTTTCTTCTATCACACCCACACCCTTATTTCGACTAAACTGATTGCTGAAAAGCAAAAGTTGAGACTAGCAGATCAACTTGTATCGCAGATATATAGCTCGATCGGGTTTTTGACTAATACACTCTCATTCACCCTCTCATCCTCTACTAAACCCAGTTTTCAGTGCAAAATAAACAAGAAGCCTATGACAACATTGTGTGTGTGATGAGATAACAGTTAATCATTTTTATTTGATGGTAGACTACAAAAAAAAGTGTTGTAAAAGTGTTGTTTCGGCATTCTCTAAAACAAAACAGAAGATAAATGTGCTACTTATAGAAATCGTGCATTTCCTATCTAGCTAGTTGCTTTAATTATTCGAAAATTCCGTAGTCTTCTATCTAAGTAGATAAGCATACACAATAATACCCATTAGTTTTCAGTCTCCATTTCCTCCTTTTATGTTTATGATAAAACTAGTAAATTCTATAATAAACTCCATTTTCTGAGATTCTTTTTACATGAATAAAGATTTTCTAGAAAATACCAGTGTTCTCTGATAAATTATCTTTAAATTCTATCCTATTCTTTTTCATTTGTAATCTATTGATCTTTAAAATTGAAACGAGAAATAGAGTAAGTAGTTAATATTTCTTTCAGAACAACATTAACTCATTTAACAGTGTAGTGATCATAATCAGTTATTATACTTTTGACCTCATTATGATGTATTTTCGGATAATATTTTTCATGCGATTATTCAGTATGATGATAATCGAATCGAACATTTCATTCCTTTATCATACTAATCATGGTTCCAAAACGAATTTTGATTGTTTTTATGCTTATATCATTGATGATCTTAATCAAACAGATCGGACTTTTCTTCGCACAAATTATTTAACTCTATATTGTCCACGTCCATTATCAAACGATTCTATTGGTGAAAATTTAACACTAATACAAAATTTGATGAAATTAGTTTTTACAATTGTTCATCATCATGGTTTGGTTCTCATTGTCAATATACATTTGGTTCGGATATTTTTATTGAATCATTTAGTGATTTTATAGTTTCTTCATTTAATAATCGAAAACAATATCATGAAAAATTCATAATAAATACTTGTTATCCATATTTATCAGGTTGTTATCATGGTCCCGAACCAATGTGTTTAGATTGGCGTGAAATATGTAATGGAATAATTGATTGTATTGGAGATAGTTTTGGTATGGATCAACAGTATTGTGATGAACTTGAAATGAATGAATGTAAAGAAGATGAATATCGATGTCATAATGGAGCTCAATGTTTACCATTAGGATTTTTTCGAGATGGTTGGACAAGTAAAGATTATTTAGATGGAATTGATGAAGATGAAATTAGCATCAATAGTCAAGTGAACGGTGATGTAAGTAAATTAGATTGCATAAGAATATTAACATTTCCTTGTGAAGAACGTAGCTGTCGTAGCACACATTCATTTCCATGTGGTAATGGAGAATGTCGTAGGTTTGGGTTCATTAACAATTATATTTGTTCATACAAACATTTGTGTACAGGTACAAATCGTGACTTCTATTATGTTCGAGCTATTCATACGACTAACAATCATCTTTCAAGCGAGTGTCGGAAATTACTACTTTGCACACTTAGATTTTATATTTCTCTCACAGACGACAAATCTGACGGAGAAGACTGTTCATCTGAGAATTGGTTGTCATCAAATAATTGTTCAATGGACCATATATCGTTTCCTGCCGATCCAATGCTCAACCGTTATTTTCAGGTTATCTATTCATCTGNTCTATTGATCTTTAAAATTGAAACGAGAAATAGAGTAAGTAGTTAATATTTCTTTCAGAACAACATTAACTCATTTAACAGTGTAGTGATCATAATCAGTTATTATACTTTTGACCTCATTATGATGCATTTTCGGATAATATTTTTCATGCGGTTCCAAACCGAATTTTGATTGTTTTTATGCCTATATCATTGATGATCTTGATCAAACAGATCGGACTTTTCTTCGCACAAATTATTTAACTCCATATTGTCTACGTCCATTGTCAAGCGATTCTATTAGTGAAAATTTAACACTGATACAAGAATATGTAGAAAATGTAGTCATGTTTAAAACTTTACGTTCTCAAGGATTTAAAAGTGAACATCTACTTCAATGGTCAATATCAATTGATTTTATTGAACAATATGCGATGTATTTGATTATAAATAATACAAAATTTGATGAAATTAGTTTTTACAATTGTTCATCATCATGGTTTGGTTCTCATTGTCAATATACATTTGGCTCGAATATTTTAATTGAATCATTTGGTAATTTTATTGTTTCTTCATTTAATAATCGAAAACAATATCATGAAAAAAAGATGAATATCGATGTCGTAATGGAGCTCAATGTATACCATTAGAATTTTTTCGAGATGGTTGGACAAGTAAAGATTGTTTAGATGGAACTGATGAAGATGAAATTAGCATCAATAGTCAAGTGATCGGCGATGTGAGTAAATTAGATTGCATAAGAATATTAACATTTTCTTGTGAAGAACGTAGCTGTCGTAGCACACAATCATTTCCATGTGGTGATGGAGAATGTCGTAGGTCTAGGTTCATTAACAATTATATTTATCCATACGAACGTTTGTGTGCAGGTACAAATCGTGACTTCTATTATGTTCGAGCTATTCATACGACAAACAATCATGTTTCAAACGATTGTCGGAAATTACTGTTTTGCACACTTAGATTTTATGTCTCCCACAGACGACAAATATGACAGAGAAGACTGCTCATCTGAAAATTGGTTGTAATCAAATAATTGTTCAATGGACCATATATCGTTTCCTGTCGATCCAATGCTCAACCATTATTTTCAGTTTATCTATTCATCTGAAAGTTTGGTCAATAGTTCCTTTAATGCTGTGTTACCTAATTGTATCTGCAATGATCCCCGACAGTGTCTATATCTACCAAAAACAACACTTAAAATAGGGCGTTTAAATTGTCGCCCGTTTGAACCAGTCGTTGAAGAATTCCACATTTCAAATTTGTTCTATTCACATTCTGCACTTAATTCGCTTGAAAGTGTTTGTTCGTTGATGAAAAATATTAATGAATATACATCAAATTCATTTCTATTTTACTGGGTGTGGGTGTCACTCTACTGTTCCGACATACTCAGATCCACACCCGCACTCATATCATCCTCCACTATCTACATCCACAATTAATGTGAACCCTTCATTCTCTCATGAAGCGGGTTTTATAAATCTGATTCCGGATTCGGATTCTCGTGCTCTGATTACCTTCGGTTAAGCCTTATAAAATTTTGTTATTTCCTCAATAAATCTTTTCCTCAGTTGGAAGATGAAACTGATAAAATTCAGAATACAAGAACGTTGTGATGAATTTCCAGTAGCAATAGGGACTTCTTAATAGCACTAAACAAGCGTCATATTTGTAAATGCTGATCATTGGTATTGTTGAGATTACCCGAAAGACTACTGAATAACCCATGAGATACCTTTTCCCTGCACTCAGGGTGTGCGCGTTGATGTGAAATTCTCTTCGTCGACACCTACACCCGTACCCTATGATATTTTATTTTATATAAAACTTCTGCTCCAATCAAGTCTCACAATCTTAATTTACTCTATAGAATGTTAATGAAGAGAAGATCCATTTCCACCCCATCAATTTATCGAATATTTCAAAAATGTGTCTATAAGATGTACAAGATTTGATTACTTCTAAAAAATAATTGTTTATTTTGTAGATTTAACCCTACAAAAATGTTTATTGATTGCTCTAGACATCATTATGTGTTCAGATAGTTTCAAAGATCATTAATAACCTTCCATTCTCAAAAACCTTCAAGAATCAAAACTGTTTTTATGAATTTGTACACTAGGCCACTCGCGCAAAGTGCTCATATGCTTATCGCAAAAATAATTCTTGTTACCGAAAATCGAGTTTTCTGAGGTGAAGAACACTCCGTAACTTGTCTATAAGTTTTGACTTGGCTCTGTTCAGTTTGAGATTTTTTTCGGTTTGGTTCAAAACAAAACACAAACCAATCCAATATTTTATGTTTATTATCAGAATCAGCAATTTAGACTCTTATAACAAACTTTGAGAAATTATTTTCTGAATATAAACTACTGTTATCATTGTGAATACAATTGATTATTGAAAAGGTTGTTGTTTTTTTGACTATCATTGAAGTTTGATCATAGTTAGTCACGAAGTTTTAGTAAAAGTTTATCAAATTAAGAATCTTTTCTTTTATCTTTTCCATGAGAGACAATAATACTATCAGTTTATTCCTAACTGGGATGTATTGTTGTACTACAAAAATATCATCATAGTAAGTCAAGTCGATTGAACAACGTTGGTAGTAGCTTACATACAATGCCTCCTACTAATCACTCGAAAAGTTGTGTCATGAAACACTTGGCTCTTTTAATCAAGCAAATATTTCGTGTTTTATATTCTAAACCAACATGGATTCTGTTTACAGTGTTTTCTTCTTAAGTTCTTACTTTTATATTCATTTGGAAATTCTAAAAGTAGCTATTGCATCTAATATGACACTAAGTAACACGACTCACGAGGGAAGATTCCCTGGTGTGTCTCTGGGATTTTAACGAAATCTATATGGGTTTATTAAGTCAAGTATTAGTATTTCAACTATCGAAGAATTAGCTGGTGAGACTAATCCGTTAAAAAAATTTGGAGTCAAAATATTTTTTGCCTAGGACCTTGAGGTGGACGACAGGTGAGTTTTTTTCACGAAAAATTAAGTTCGCTAAAATTATCTCAAATATTGATAGGTCCACTCAGCGTTTAGTGCTGATTTCAAATATGTTATTAGTTTTACCACATATTGTATTTTTCTAACCGAAATCTACTAGTAGTAGTCAAGATGGTACGAATTCACATCTACAGAATAGCCTGCTAGATAGNAATTACTACTTTGCACACTTAGATTTTATATTTCTCTCACAGACGACAAATCTGACGGAGAAGACTGTTCATCTGAGAATTGGTTGTCATCAAATAATTGTTCAATGGACCATATATCGTTCCCTGCCGATCCAATGCTCAACCGTTATTTTCAGGTTATCTATTCATCTGAAAGTTTGGTCAATAGTTCCTTTAATGCTGTGTTACCTAATTATATCTGCAATGATCCCCGACAGTTCTATATCTACCAAAAACAACACTTAAAATAGGACGTTTAAATTGTCGCCCGTTTGAGCCAGTCGTTGAAGAATCCCACATTTCAAATTTGTTCTATTTACATTCTGCACTTAATTCGCTCGAAAGTGTTTGTTCGTTGATGGAAAATATTAATGAATATACATCAAATTCATCTCTATTTTACTGTGAATTATCTCATAGGTATGTTTCTAAACATCGTCTTTTCGATGATATCATTGAGATTGTTATCATAACGAAGATGAAACATATCCAGAAAACTGCTTATTAAATAATTCTCAACATTTTCCATGTGAATCGAAAAAGAATTTTTTATCACCTGATTGCATAAGTAATCAAGATTCATTCGTCAATGAATTTCTATGGTCTACATTTGCACTTCTATGTGATGACATTTTTTACGGTATCTACGACGACGATGAAAACGACGAATCGAATTGTGAATGGTGGCCATGTTATAATCCATATACTCGATGTGATACTATTTTTCAATGTGCCAATGGTATTGATGAAATGGGTTGCCCTAATACTAATTGTAGTGTTAATGAATTAAAATGTGATGTTAACGATCCTGCCAACTCTCAATGTATTCGTCAAGCTTATATTTACGAAAAATCGATCAATTGTAGTAAGGATAATACTGATGAAATCATTTATCGAAGATTATTTTATTCTACTAACTTAGAATATTTGCCATGGAAAGAAAACACTTGTTTAAGAGATAATGATATTTGTGGTCAACAATCAATTAATACTCAGCATTTAGTATGCAATATTGTCAATGTGTCGAGACGTTTTACCTGTGACAAATTAATATTGAATATACATAATAATGAACCATTGTGTGCATTAAAAGATGGTTTTTCTCTTCCGCGTCTTATTCGTTTTCTTTCTGTATTCAATCTTGGATATTTTCCATCAACAATAAATATAACATCAGCATCATCTCCTCGTCAACATATTCATATTAAAAAAAAAAATCTTAGCATTGAATACTAGTATTGATTTAATCGAATATTGTAATCGTGGTATTGTTATATTTGAAGGTAAATCATATAAAAAGAAATGTTTATGTCCGCCAAGTTATTTTGGTGATCAATGTCAATGGCAAAGTCAACGTGTTAGTTTGACACTTCAAATACGTCAAATGGGTTCAGTCGAGAAAAAAAAATTTCTTTATGGTATATTTATTTATCTTATTGATGATGAATATCAAACAATTCATTATGAAGAAATTATTTATAATCCATCGATAGATTGTGAAACTAAATTTAATCGTTATTTACTTTATCCAACAAGACCAAAGACTTCCAATCATACTTATTCAATACGTATTGATATATTTGACAAAATAATATTAAATTATTATGGAAGTTGGCATTTATTTATTCCTTTTCCATTTGTACCAGTTAATCGTTTATCCACACAGTTAAATATTTCATTTGAAAAATCTGAATCTTCGAAAAATTGTTTATCAAAATGTGAAGTTCATAGAAAATGTTTCAATTATATAAATTCATTAAAATCATTTTGTCAATGTGATGAAAGATATTCTGGTCGTTTTTTGTAATTTAACATATCAATGTTCATGTTCATCTGTTTCGATTTGTTTATGCCCATTAAATAAATTTGGTTCCAAATGTTATTTACGACATACGTCTTGTCAACCTCATCATTTATGTAAAAAAAATGGTGAATGTGTACCTATTAATGATCGTATTAGAAATAAAGGTTTTACATATTTATGTAACTCCACCATGGAGACCACTATTTTGTGGTTTCTATGCCGGTCACAAGTCCGGACAAAGGAGGAGTGTTGGACGGAAGGGGTGCAGATACCGCCGTCTGTAAAAACAAAAAGACGAAAGAAACTAACCATGAACGACTTTAGCACTAAAACATACCGGCTCGGACGTCGCCCGGGAAAACAAGGTCCGCGTCCTCT